GACCTAACCCAAGTCAAAGTCAAACCTGTTCAGTCAATTCACAATCCTCAACAATTCAATTCAAACAATCAATTTAATTCAATTAACCAATTTAGCCAAATTATAGCATAAACACATATAACGATCCAAACCATTAAATCTATTCTGAATGCTATTAACTTCATAGTACGGACCTGGATTACGCCGAAATCGAATCGATAGCTCGAACGGAAGGCAAATCAATGAAATCAAACGAACGGGTCAAATCGAGTCAAAATGCGAAATCGACCAATCAATCCGGCGTGGAGGTTAATCTGCCGGCGATATCAACTCGGGGCAGCGGCCGGATGCGGCGACGGTGACGGACACCGGCGACAGTGGCGGAGCGGCAACTCGACGGCGATGAGCAGCGACTGGCGGCGCTGCAATCGACGGCGGCGGACGACCGACGAAGGCGAAACAGCGGCGTTGCACTCGACGGCGAGGATGGCCGCTGTGCAAAGGGCGACGGCGGCGCTCGATTCCGGCGAAGGCGAAGCAGTAGCTGGAAGCTCGGCGACGGCGGCTGGAGGCTCGGCGACGCTAAGCGGCGGCTACTGGCGAAGGAAGCAGCGGCGGCGCTGCAACTCGGCGGCGCTGCAATCGACGGCGGCGATGAGCGGCGACGCCGGCGGCTGGCTGCTCCAGTTGGACGGCGACGACCGGCAGCTGGCTCACGGCGGCGCTGCACCAATCGGCGATGATGGCGGCGAGGCTGGAGAAGGGCGATTGGCTGCGGCGAGGCTGGGGAAGGCGACGGCGGCTCCAATTGGACGGCGAACGACCGGCTGGGGAACTTCCGGCGGCGATCGATCGGCGAAGAAGAAGAAGAAGGAGAAGAAGAAGAAGAAGAAGAAGAAGAAGAAAAAAGAAGGAGAACGGACGAAGAAGGATAAGGTTTCTACGGCTGAAATTAGTTTAGGTTTATTTAATGGTCCCATTCCAAAAAGGATTGGGCTTCGGACCCAAAATACCTGATTTAATGGTCATAACTTGAGCTCCATAACTCCGATTCGCGAGCCGTCTGAACCGACGCGATCACAAAAATATTTCCTACGAGATGACATAAAAGTTGGGCTTAAAATCCAAATTATAATTTTAACCCCTTATTGGGCCCAATTCGTAATCAATTGCTCTAACAATTTAATTAATTCTTTTGGGCCAGGTTTCGGGGCGTTACAACAACGCTCTTAGCTATTCTTAGTCTAAGGCCAGATCATAACAATGCTCTTAACTATTCTTAGTCTAAGGCCAAATCATAATAATGCTCTTAACTATTCTTAGTCTAAGGCCAAATCATAATAATGCTCTTAGCTATTCTTAGTCTAAGGCCAGATCATAATTTCATTCTTAGACGCTTAAACTATAATTAGTTTAAGGCAAACATTTCTCAGACGCTTAAACTATAATTAGTTTAAGGCAACAGTTCTCCGACGCTTAAACTTTAATTAGTTTAAGGCAATCAATACTCAGACGCTTAAACTATAATTAGTTTAAGGCAACAATAAGACAATAATTAATCATCATTGAGTCGAAGTATTTCCAAACGAGTGATCCTCTAGCTTAGTCTACGAATCCCGTTTATACATTTTTATCTAATTCATCGAATATTCATGTTTCACAAATCCACACTAATA